AGCCGTAATTCTCTTCCAAAGTTTGCGAAAGCTGGTGTCACTGCTGTACTTTCGTGAACAGAACTTCGATATGACAACAAAAACGGTTGTATGTGCTTGTCCCAATCTCGTTGCCGATTGTCTACAACTTTTGCTAGGTACCTCTCCAATGTCTGATTAAATCGTACCACCATTCCATCAGATTGCGGGTGATAAGAAGTCGTTCTTGTTTTATGAGTACCCATAACTCAGCAAGTTTCCTGGAATATTTGAGACTCAAAATTCCTTCCTTGATCGCTGTGAATCTCTAAAGGTACTCCAAAACGACAGAAGAATTCATGAACTAGTTTATCTGCAACTGTTGAAGCTTCTTGATTTGGAATGGCGAAGACTTCTGGCCACTTAGTGAAGTAATCCATCACAACCATGAAATACTTGTTACCGCTTTCACTCTCCGGAAACGGCCCCGCCACGTCAATGGCTATTCTCTCCCATGGTGCACCCACATTGTACAACTTCAATGTACCTCTACTACGAGTCTGAGGTCCCTTTACAGCCGCACAACTTGTACATTTGCGACACCAGTCCTCGACATCGTTTCGACAGTGGACCCAGTAAAAGCGTTCTCGGATCTTCAATAGAGTTGGTTTAACTCCCAGATGGCCTCCTGAATAATCATTATGGTACAGCTGTAGAACATCCGGTACTTTAGTTTTAGGGACAACCATTTGTAAATGACAGCTGTCTCCCCGAACATTTTCCCATTTACGGCACAGAACTCCATCCTGAAGCAGCAAGCTGTCCCACTGGGCCCAATAGCTTTTAGTGGTTGAACTCATTGCTGAGACGTCGCTCCACTTAGGCTTGGGAGCACTGGCCTTCATCCATTCCAGGGTCGGCTTGATGTCTGGATCTTCCTGCTGTGCACGTTGAAAGCTGTCCTTCCACTCGTTGCTGAGGTGGTCTGCCCTGAGCATCCTCACGGATACCACTTCCTTACTCTCTTGCCTAGTACAATGTTTGCAATCTTCAGGACAAGGTCTTCGTGATAATGCATCTGCGTTGCCATGAGATTTCCCGCTGCGATGTTCGATCTCAAAGTCGTATTCCTGCAGTAGTTCAATCCACCTCGCAACTTGTCCTTCTGGATTTTTAAACTGCAATAGCCATTTTAGTGCAGCATGGTCAGTTCGTAAGTGAAATTTTCGCCCCAGAAGATATTTGCTAAAATGCTGCAACGACTTTACCACAGCTAGCAATTCGCGTCTTGTGACACAATAGTTCCTTTCCGGTTTTGACAACGACTTGCTGAAGTACGCTATCACGACCTCGTGGTCACCATTCCGTTGAGACAACACACCGCCAAGTCCTATATCACTTGCGTCTGTGTCAACTATAAATTCTTTGCTTGCATCAGGGTATCCCAAAATAGGTGTTTTGCACAGACGGTCCTTGAGCTCCTGGAATGCGATATTACAACTTTCATCCCAGCAGAAATGTCGCTTCTCCTCGGTTAGCCTATGCAGAGGTTTGGCTATATCTGCAAAGTTCTTCACAAAACGTTGGTAGTAGGAGCACAAACCCAAAAATGCTCTAACCTGCGTCTTGTCTTTTGGAACCGGCCAATCCTTTACAGCTGCGATTTTCTCTGGATCCGTGCGGATACCTTCTTCCGACACTACGTACCCCAAAAAGTTGACTTGCCGTTTGAATAGTGAACATTTCTTCGGACTCAACTTGAGGTTGGCACTCTTAATCTTCATGAGCACGCGTTCCAAGTTTTGAAGGTGTTCCTCAAACGTACGGCCCACGATGATGATGTCATCCAAGTAGACCAGACAGGCGTCGCCAATTAGCCCGGTAAGTACAAGTTCCATCAGCCTTTCAAACGTTGCTGGAGAATTGCACAACCCGAACGGCATTACTTTAAATTGCCACAGACCCTTTCCCGTCGAGAACGCAGTTTTCTCCTTGTCCTTAGGGTCAATTTCAACTTGCCAGTAGCCACTTTTTAGGTCCAGCGTGCTAAACCACTTTACTCCTGTAAGCATGTCCAGCGTGTCGTCAATTCTTGGCAAGGGATAGCTATCCTTCTTAGTAACGTCGTTCAGACGGCGGTAGTCAACACAAAACCGCAAGCTGCCGTCCTTCTTCTTTACCAGTACCACGGGTGAACACCATGGACTAGATGAAGGTTCAATAACACCATCCTTCACCATTCCCTTAATCATGGTTTCCACTTCCTTTTCACGTGCTACCGGCAATCTTCTTGGCCGCTGACGGATAGGCAACTCTTCACCTGTGTTTATTTTGTGTTGAACTAAACCTGTCTTTCCTATGTCAGCATCGTTTGATGAGAATACATCGGCGTACTCGAGTAACAACTTTTTCGCCTTGACCAATTCGTTCGGGGACAGAACACTGCGACAGTCTTCCAAAAGTGTGGTCACTCTCGTTTCTGAATTCTTGCTGGGGGTCCCACTCGATATATATTGGCACTGACGTAACCAATCCACTTCCTCACAAGTACCAACCAGTGTGTCTTTTTCTATAATCTGTTCCCGGTCGCAAAGGTTCAGCACACGTACTCCTGAGATGTCAGTGGTCCTGACCAAGGTTCGAGCTACTTTCCATGGAAGGTCATTGTTTCCCCCTTTCCACAAGTACACAACGGTGAGCTTGCCCAGCGTTTCGAGGAAGACTAACAATCGTTTCCGATCTCGGCGGAAGCACAATCTTCTTGATGCTGTACACGTTCCCTGGTAACGCACCTTCCATAAAAAGTTCCTCCTGTCCACATTTCAAAACACCTTGCTTAACGTCGATCTCACAACAATTATTCCTCATAAAGTCTAAGCCTAGGATGCAGTCGTCCATTATATCAGCCACGATGACATTATGCAGGTAGATCACGTTGCCTAGCTTCAACTCCATCTCCTTCTCTCCACGGACGGGTATACGCTGACCGGTGGCTGTTATCAAATTAATGCGTTCTCGGTTGTATGCGGAGTCCCCAAGGAACTGACTTATAAGTTGGGAACTAACAACCGTACGAGAGGCTCCAGTGTCTATGGTCAGCTTACACGGCATTCCGTTGATCTCGCCCTTTTTGATTAGGCTGTTCCAATCATGGGTTTGTGAGATCGAGATCCTTGGGGCTCTTTTAACATCAGCCAGCACCCGCCCCGCAGTTCTGGCTTTTACTCGTTTCCCTGCCGCTGCTGGGCGGTGCTGTTAGCCGCACTACCATCCTGAGATCGTTCAATTTCCCTTTCTAGGGTTCGCTTAGGGCAGCTGGATCGAAGATGGCCCTTTTCCCCACAGCCATAGCACCTTGGGCTGTATCCTTTGTTGCGGTCGCGAACTGCAGCTGCTGCAACCTCCCTGACGCGATGGGGACGATGATCCTGCCGCACGGCTTCCACTTCCAGTGCATGGGCCAAGGCGTCCTTAAGCGTCTCATGGTGCCCGAGCCTCACAGCAGCTCTGACTTCCAGGTCGCGGATGCCGTCGATGAATGTCTGCACCAGGTTCCCATCAATGAGCGCAGGTACAGACCGGTATGCTTTTCGCACCAGCTTCTCCACTTCTAGAGACCACTGCTGCAGGTTTTCGTTGATGCGCTGCACACGATCTTTAAGCTGCGCACGAAAGACGTGTTCCAGGTGAGCGTCGCCATATCTCGCCTCCAATGCCTCAAGGAGTTGCTCATAAATCACTTCCTCACCGAGAGCTTCCAGAATTGTTAAGGCCTGGTCGCGCAGGCCTAGTGTGAGAGCAGTCATGGCCTGACTTTTATTCCAGCCGTTCGCCTTCATAACAGCCTCGAACTGGATTTTGTAGGCCGACCAGGAAGAAGTCCCGTCGAACGGCGGCACTTTGAATCCACGTAGCGAAGGTGCTGTAGCTAGTACGGGAGCTGTAGTTCCATCCCCAAGTTTGAGTTGGTCTAGTGATTTCTTCATGTTCGCCATTACGTTGTCAACCCGATTGTTTACTTGGTCGATTCGGGTTTCAGCTTTCTCGATTCGGTTTTCAGCTTTCGCGATTTGGGTTTCAGCTTTCGACAGGCGGTTGTCATGCTGAGCAACCCTATCCTTCACCTCCTTTATCTCCTTCCCGAAGTTAGCGTGAAGGTCCTTCATGAGGAGCATCTGCTCTTCCAACCGACGGGCCTGTTCCTCTTGTCCGCCCCGCAGCTGCTCTTCCAATCGGCGTGCCTGTTCCGCCTGCTGGCGAGCCTGTTCCTCCTGTCGGAGAGCCTGTACCTCCTGCTGCTCTTTTAACCAACGGGCCTGTTCCTCCAGCATCACCATCAGAGCACCTAAGTCAGGTGCTGCAGATGTAGGAGCTACCGACGGGCCTGCAGCTGGTGGCAGGCCCTCCGACGTCTGCGGCGTTGCACCACCAAATCTTCGTTGGTCCGTCTCCTGCTGGCGTTGACTTCGGGTACGGACACTCTCCGTTTCCTTCTTAGGTAAAATCGGCATGATTTTATCCCACTTCTGACACCAATTGTTACGAGCTTGAGGTTCGTGACAATAAAAATTGCCGATAAAATTACCTAAATTAACACTTTAATTTACTTTACACAAATTAAAACTAAAAACACTAATAATTAAACACACTAATTCACTTAATTCCGCTCCGAAGCTTCGCTTGTGTCGCCGAGTTCAACTCTGCCCCGATCGCATCTTGAAGCGCCTATTTATATAATTAGCAAAGAAGCGTCCCGAACATTCAAGTAAATGCGCGCCAGGCAACGAGTATTCGAGTGTAGATTTTCCAGAAACTTAGTTCTTCGGGTGGCGCTGTCGGTCGAAATATTTGTGATGTCATTTACTGCAAAGCTCCCCTCGCTCTCGTTCCTGACACTAGATGGCGCTAGTTGACTTATTCATGCAACAATACTAAACTACAATTACGAAGACAATAACAATAACAACCTTTAATTCATTATCAACATATTACCTGATTTATATTTTTAGTTTAATTAATCGTTACTGTTATATTGTTTTCAGTTCTACTTCAATGATTGGTTTGGCATTAATCGCAACAGGCACTGGTGGTATAAAACCATGCGTTGCTGCATTTGGTGGTGATCAGGTAGACCTACTACTGTTATCATTATTTATTTATTAGTTGTAGCTACACAAATAATGATAATTTATTCCAGATCCAATGTCTGCTATCGACACTATCTGCTCAAAATTAGTACAATTCATGAGTTTTACTAATACACTGGTGCACATGTTACTTCCTTACAGTCTCATGGTATGGCAATGCGGGTAAAAAGGGGAGATCAGGCGCAGAACCAACGATTTTACGTGCTTTGCTAAGTAGGAGTGAAATACTAACTTCCCAATCCGGCTTTTACTGAGAAATTCTTGACAGAAAATCATAATCACTGATGTTTTCGACGACTGCGATCCTCGGGACTCGAACTCAGGACGATATAATTTGCTGTCACAATCACAACCACAATACCAATGAGACTGGCAAGATGCTGATGATGCTGATCAAAATACGAACAAGTTGCCAAATTAGTTATTTAACAAAGAGACATTTCATATCTATGATGGTTTAAATGTAGGCCTAATCGAAAGCTTCATCGAATCGAAAAATAATAGATATCGAAATTTAATAACAAATCACAGTTGTTTGTGTACAATATTACATTTATAAAAATATATGGGGGATCATAAAGCAATATTCATATATATTTAAGAGTTTAGAATAAACTTTATCATTTACTATATTTCCAACTGTACATTAATCAAAATGTCGATGCCGAGGATTCCGATACTAATTGATGTAGCATCGGGCGTACTCTGAAACCGAGGAGATACGACAAAGGAGTTTCTTTTAGCGGTAAACGGTGGCGGTGTCTTCTGAAGTTTAAACTGTATTAGAGTCATCCTCAATAAAGACTTCAAGATGACTTCAGACACAAGTTTTTTCCGATACTCGATGACATGATCCCGAGAAATATTAGCACGTTCGGTGTAAAAATCATCCAGTGTTACAACCAGTAACAGCAACATATAATATAAGTAATTGTTATTTCAAGCAACGAACGTAAAACATATAATTTCAACAAAGAAACCTTGTAATTTTGCGTTTATTTGTAATACTCCTCTTAACTGCGATAAAAATGTGCGATAGTTTCGACTACCTGAAGATAATCAGCGTCTGCAGAAGTTCTTCTCGACTTTTTACTGCACGGTAAACCTGGGCGGCTTCATGGGCATGGTGGTGACGCCCGCGCTGCGACGCAGCGTCATGTGCTTTGGTGACGACGCTTGCTACGCACTTGGATTTGGCTTTCCAGCAATACTCGTTCTCGTTTCTATTCGTAAGTTAAAAATATTGTAAAGATAAAAATTATATATATATATATATATATATATATATATATATATATATATATATATATATATATATATATATATTATATATATATATATATATATATATATATATAGGTATACATAAATAGGTATTTTTTCATATTCGTTAAGGGGAAATATAATCTCAAATGGCTTAGCAAGATACTTCGTTATGCCGAAAACATTGCAGCATTAATTTTGAAATAAATATATGGTAAAGTTGAGGATTAATGTTAAGGATTATGTTAGACGAAAACACGAAAAAATCCAAAGTTACCTTCAAAATAAACAATAAACCGCTGTTATTCACAAAATACTTTAAATAAGATCATGAAACTTTGCGTACTAACTGTACTAACTATAAAGCAGTGCTTATGTTATTTAATTTTTTTCAAATACCATTATTTTCACTGTAAAAAGAAATTACCTAAACTATCGGCCTTTTGAAGCGTGATTCCTGCCGCACGGTCACTTCGCTTCGACCTTTGAACGGGGAGGTTGTGTCGCTTACGATCAGAATATACATTACGCAACAGGACGACGTAAAATTAAAATGGGAAATAACCGTAATAAAAATAAGAAGCGACTGGCTTGGCGTTAAGAAAAAGTCATAAATATGATAAACCTAATGAAATAAGTGTCTGACGACCTTTCTACTTACAGTATTAGTGATTACAAACATGTCGGTACATAGCATACGACGCGCGGGCAAGTGGGGACGACATTAGAATTTGAGCTGACTTACTATATCCTATTAATACGAAGCGCCAAAATCGAGAATTAATGTGAATGTATTTATAAGCAGTATTCGTGGTAGAGCCATGCTGCAGCTATATAATAGTTGTAGCACACATGGGTCGTCATAAGGGGAAGGGCCACACTCTCAAAATACCAGCGTAAAATAGCTGTTTAATGCTGCTGTGTTTCGTATGGTAAATATAAAAAATCGGAGACCCTTTTTACTAGAAACGAGTCATTCTTTTTTAGTCCTCACCGGTGGCAACGCTTATGCATTTTGATTCTTAATTGAGTATAGATATAGACGTAGCACCCACTTACCATCAGTTGGACTGTGTTGCTCGTTTGTCATTCTATTTTGTCCACAGTAAATAGACAGCTTTACCGTACCAAATTGTTATCCTAGTTATATTTTTGCACATCATTTTTACATTAGTCACAGGAAAGTTCTTGTCGTCGGTGGATAATATTTATAACTTATATCCGTTACCGTTACAGCCTACTAAAAGTCCACTGCTGAACAAAGGCCTCCCCGTATTCGCCACGTTTGAGTTGGCAACCACAGTTTTGTTCGGAAGACCATATTCTGGTTTGTTTCCCCCTATCGCCTCTTACAACTCCCAAGGAACGATATTAGTCAGTAAATATTCTTATAAAGCCACTACATGACGCTTTACAGTTTATTCGAATTACAAAACGCTTACCTTAAATCTTCCTTGTGAGCCTCCGGCTAGCTATGACGGTGGCGTATCCAAAGGGCTCTAGGTAACTCATAACTTATAAGCATAAGTCATAACACACAAAGCCAATAAAACACAATTGCTAAATACTTGGCAATATTAGGGTATTTTTTGATTGCTAACGTTACATATGATACGGGTGATCTCCTTAGAATTAGTGAGCCTATGTTTACCCAAATATTGGTGCAAAGTCCGAACTATTTATAGTATACAATAAACGGTTAGTCGGATTGGTGTGCCGCAAAGGATACCCGAGCCGTAACATAACCTACTGTCTCATACTTTCGTATTTTTCACAAGTTGAAGAAAAGTCATGGTATTAGTATCTTAATTATTATTCTGACTTTGTAAACATATTTCATTATAATCATTTTGCTAGTGGAAACGAATATCTGGAGCAAAACAACATTGTTAAAAGTACGAGAGTTTTACTAACTCTTTTTCTTGTTTTGGAAATATTTGTTCGCGATTGGCATGACGTATCTCTTTATATATATATATATATATATATATATATATATATATATATATATATATATATATTTATAATTCTTCTGTCTTTGTGTATGTGACTGAACTCCTCCTATACGGCTGGGACAATTTTGATGAAATTTTGTGTGTGTGAAAAAGTTGATACGAAATTGGTTTAGATTCACAATAGGGTATTTACATCCATTTTCAAAAAGTGTTTTAAATGAATGCTAGAGTGATAATGAACCACTATAATTTTATATAATTTTTTTAAGCCGAATTGTGCCATAAATATCACTTTTAATCTATCGTTTTAAATTTTCGCGTGAAAACGATAGCCGACACGCTGTTCAACTCGTGACGTCACTGTCCCATAATTTTGCCGAAATTTGCAAAGGAATAAAATACTTTTTAATGTTTAATAATGAGTTATCATCTATATCATTGTTGTGTTGTATCTGAATCCAAAAGTACGAGCATAAGAACGCCGGAAAAGTTATGGATTCAAGTGCACACTGATTTAAATATAAAAAATACTTGGTTAAAACTGGCAAAAAAGATACCCTCTACAAAAACTAGACTATTCTTCTGTGAAGATCGTTTTAATGTAATTATGACCTATATTTAACTATCGTTTGTACACAACAAAACATCATGAGGGGAAGGGTATATAAGTCAAATTTTGTAATAAATTACTTTAACTTAGATATTTTAACTAATAACTGCTAATGATTGTAACTAAAGATAAACTAAACTATGATATCTAGAAAACTATGTTTTATCAAAATCCACTCTGACCTGGTATTGTGGTAAGTTGGTAATAGGTACTTACATTGGTGTTTTAACATTACTCAACTCAGCGGGACAAAATTGGGATTGCATGCAAAAATTTTTGTCACCATCAACTTATTTATCCTTGGTAGATTAGTACTTTCTGCTTTTTAGGAATTCCTCTTCCACGATGCCTTTTCAATAAAACTCGGAATAAAACTCAATAATCATAATGATAACTTGAAAAATTTCGTAATAACACAGCACATTAGCTAGTTCTCTTAATCAGTGACACAGATCACTAATACCCTTAGGTGGGATCAGTGGCGTCATGATAGTATCTAATATGGTGGACAGAAACAAAACACAACACAAAAATTATTCTTAAAATTGAAATATAAAATTTATAATGCAACTTTATAAATAGAGATTAATATGTCTCGTTTACTTTTTACAAAATCTATCATAAATATATATTTTTTGATTTTTTGAAATGGTATAAAATACCCTATTGGACTCGATATGTGGCGCTGTTTTCGAGATTCAGAAATAACCCGTTTGAATCAGAGGCTAATAGCCATATAAGAAGTAGCAGATGATATCGCGTCCACTATAATCTACTTGATGATACCCGCTCGCTTCGCTGGGCGTACGTTAATACACTACCTAACTACTATAAAATAACTCATAATATAAAATATCAAGATTATTTTTATGGGACTACAGTAAATAAATAAATAAAAATTGTTTATTTCGGACAACTTGAAATCCATAGGAATTGTTAGTAGAGAAAAACTTACATCTATGTTAGTAATATAATATATACATTTTTTTTAATATTTAATTATTAAGCAGGACATGATCCTGGAGATCATTTTTTTGATCAGTGGGCAGTCCCCACTCTTGGCAATCTCACTCAGTACACTGTGGCCGCTGCCGCGCACTCTGTTTAGCAAAGATGCGGTCTTTTTTCGTATTATTGCATTAACACTATCCACACCCGCCAGTGCAAACATCGCAGACGCGCTACAGTAGCGCGGCAGCCGCAACAGCGCCCTGAATGCCTTGTTGTATTGAGTACGTAGGGCGCTATAAGTCTTTTTGGTGTAGTTGGTCCATAGACTGTAAGAATAAAATGACGCACAATATGTTTTGAAAAGCGTCATCTTGACAGCGTCAGTGCAGCGACCAAATCTATGCACCAACATATTCGCCCTGACCGACAGTGCCCTACGTTCTCTTTCAATGTCTTCATCGTCTTTAAGACTGTCAGTCACAATATGTCCAAGATATTTAAAACTATAGACCCTTTCTAGCGGTTCATTATAAAGCCGTAGTAAAATCCGTTCTTATTGAGCATCTACATTGCGAAATATATTAAGTCAATCGGGTGTATAGTTTTAGAGATATCGTAATGAGTCAGTCAGTCAGTCAGTGGCAATTCGCTTATACAGGTTGTTTGGAAGATGGGTGCAAAGACTAAAGGGGATGATATCTTCAACCACTTAGAACATATTACGTTAAACATGTCTTAGAAGAAGTCTGCTCCTTTTTTAAATTGAATTTCTATGTTTATTAATGTTGCGCGCCACAGTTGATGGCACTAGCGCCATCTATTATCTAACAGAGGAAATAAGCTTTCTAGAAAGCTCCACACTCGAACTTTCTGCGCCTGGTCGGTTGGGGCCGGATTTGCTGGAATATTCCGGATGTTTCGGTGGACGAGCCCTATTTAAAGCCGTTGAAAGCCGTGATCGGGGCAGTATTGAATAGGCGACACAAGCGAAGACTGCGGAGCGAAATAAAGTGAACTAAAGTGTTAAGTGTGATTAATTACTGGTGTTTTTTAAGTTTTAATTGGTGTTCAGTAATTAAAGTGTCAATTTTGGTAATTCAATCGGCAGTTTTTAATGTCACGAACCTTTATTATTTATATTAAAGTATTATATAAATATATATTTTTTAAAGTAGCAATATACCTAAAATGATAATTTAGAAAATATAGGATGGATTAACTATAGTATTTTCTTGACATGGGGCTATTCATATTATCGTAGCAATATTGTATGATAGAGGCATTTTAAGAACACAAAATTGCTTGAACTTGACGTGTCGAGAGTACCATATGCACTAACTATAACGCTTCGCGTTATTAGACGTGCGATTACTACCACAGAAATGTGAAGACGAGCCCGTGCTTGTGTTAAAAATCCTGGTCAACATTTTGAACACGTAAAATAAATTAT